GCCTTGTGCCTTTGGGAGGGTGGCTCAAAGGGGCTGCACTGTGCCAAAAAGGGTGACATGGAGCCTTTCTTCTTGCTGGAGGTTCCTCAATTCTCCTCCATGCAGGTGAATGCTTCTCTCTTATGATATGGCCTCTTTGGGTGGTATGTCTAGTAGAGTAGCCAGACTTTTTGCTACATGCCAGACACGGTACTGCAAGACTCCCAAGGGCACAAAACTGAAAGCTTCCAGGAAGGGCTCGAATTAGGGTGAGGCCAGAGGGACCCAGGGTTCAAAAATGGAAGGAGGTGCTCACTCTCAGGGGCTGCACCTGGGAGCGAGTACTCAGGATGCCTTGCATGCCTCTCCTGGGCCAGCCCTGCTGCCAGTCCATCTTAAGCTTGGGTGTGGGACCAGGACAGCCCTACCACTTCCATCACATTCTATCAAGAGAGTCACAGGCTCAGCAAAGATTGAAAATGTGGGGACTACTGCAGGGAGAATGACAGAAAAAGGCAAGTGGAACTAAGGGAGGTGGGGGAGTTTCCAGTGCTCTACCAGTTCTACTGATTTTACCTATTTTAGAACTGTGTTGTCAGAAGCATGTAAGTTTAAGGCTGTCATAGCTCTCTCAAGAACAGTTTTATCACTATATAGTGACCCTCTTTATCTGTAGGGAGGTTTTTGCCCTGAACTATATACTGTCTGCTGTTGATATAGCTATACTAGCCCTTTTTTTAGATGAGATTTTAGGTGGCATATCTTTTTTCCTGATAATTTTATTTGTGTGACTCTATATATTAGGTATGTCTCATAAATAGAATATGACTGTTTTGTATTGAGCCAATCTGTCCATCTTAATCTTTTAATGGAGGAATTTTGTCCAGATGCATTGATTACTAATATAGTAAAATTTATTTCCTTATTCTGCGATTTTAATACAACATATGATTTTTTTTAATACATCCTATGATTTTTCTTTTTTCTTCCTCTTTTCTTGCCCTCTTTTAGATTCAGGTTCATTTTTAATTTCTCATTCCATTTTTCCCTCTATACATCAGAAGTTATCATCTCTATGCCTATGCGCTTTTAATGATGATGTTAACCATGTTAACATATATTCCTAACACTCTTTACCGTCTATTCCAGTTACCAACTGATATGTAATAAACCACCCCAAACTTTACTGGCTTAAAGTAACAATTATTATCTCCCATGATTCTGTGGGCTGGCTGGGTTGAACTAAGCCATTTTCGTACAGTATCTCAGGCTGTCAAGTGGCAGCAGTGGCTAAAGCCATCTGAAGACTCAGTGTCCAAGACGGTTTACTTGCAGGGTTGGCAGCTGGTGGCAGTTGCTAGCGGGGAGCTCAGCTGAGGCTGTCAAATGTAGCACCCACAGGGAGCCACGGGACTGGAGCTTTTATCAGAACGGCATTTGAGTTCTGAGAGGGAGCACTTCAGGAGACCCAGTGGAAACAGCAAGACTTCTTATCACTTAGACTTGAAGTCACATAGTCTCACTTCTGCTGCTTTCCACTGGCTGCACTGGGCCAGCCCTGATTCTGTGTGAGAACAGACTACACAAAAGCATAAGTACCAAGATGTGTGGCTCATGGGGGTCGGGGGAGCCTGTCTGTATACCACTTACCACACCCTCATCTCGAATAAAATGTGAAGAATTATTTCTTTCTAATCATGCTCCTCCCAATTTATATGCTGGTTTTGTCCTATATCTTAGATCTATCTATGGTTTATATCTCATAGTCATTATCAATATTATTGTTTTATGTAAGTCATATTTTTCCTTAGATTCACCTATATGTGTGCCATATTTTTGTTATTCTCTGTTCTTCCAAGAACATATTCTGAGGAATTTCCTCCATTCAGAGTCTATTGGTAAATGACTTAGGTTTTTGTCAGAAAATGCATTTATTTTCCCCCAGGTCCCCGAGGAATTGTTTCACTGAGTGAAAAAATGTCACAATTCTAAATTGACATTATTTTTCTCTCCAATATTAAAGATATTCTACTATCTGCTGGCTACTATTGTGGCTCCTAAGAAATCTATTAGTTTAATCTTTAGTTATTTGCAGGTAACTTGGCTTTTTTTCCCGCTTATTTTTCAGACCTTTTTAGCTGTAGTGTTTTGCTATTCCATTATGATGTGTTCAGTTGTGAATTTCTCTGTGTATTTATCCCCTTTGGGATTCACTTAGTTTTCCAAATGTAAGAAGTGGTGCTTTCCAACAATCCTGAAAAACTCAGCCATTCTCTTTTCAAATACTCACCCTTTGACTTCCTATTATCTCCTTTAGAAGTCTAACTAGGCTAGGTCTCATGCTTCATTCATATTTTTTCTCTCTCTTGGTGTTGAACTCTGGATAATGTACTGGTATTGATACTCTAGCTCATTACTTAATCCACTGAGCTTTTAATTTCAATTACATATTAATTTCTAGATGGTCTATTTCACTTTTGTTCAAACATGATTATTCATTTTTATGATTTTTTTTAAACCTTTTTTTTTGAGATGGAGTCTTGCTCTGTCACCCAGGCTGGAGTGCAGTGGTGTGATCTTGGCTCACTGCAACCTCCATCTGCCAGGTTCAAGCGAGACTCCTGCCTCAGCCTCCCGAGTAGCTGGGACTACAGGTGTGCACCACCACTCCTGGCTAATTTTTTGTATTTTTGGTAGAAACACGGTTTTGCCATATAAGCCAAATGGGTCTCAAACTCCTGATCTCAGGTGATCTTCCCACCTCAGCATCCCAGATTTTTTTATTCTTTAGTCATCTTTTTAAACTTACCTTTTTATTTTAGACATAGTAAACATAGTTATTTTATATTCATTGCCTAATTTCATATCTGAAGTCTTTGGGAATTGATTCTCCTACATAATTTCTCTTGTTGGTTCTAACTAATGGTACATGCTTCCTTGTGTTTATGATTTTTGACTGTGAGCTCATGTACCTTGCAACTTTATCTGGGGTTATTATTTGGAGTCTGAGCTGAAGCTGCATCCCTTCACACCTGATTTGCATTTATTCAGCCAGTGTCCCAGACATACTACTAGCCTGTGACCATTTTTAATTAAACTCTTTACTTGAAGTTATTTGGACCACACAAATAATTAACATAAATCTGAAATCAATATGTGCTTAGGAGTTTTTAGAAGAGACTTTATCGCCTCTATGCCATGCTGAGGCTCAGTGAGTCCTCACTGTCCGTTTTTACTTAGTGGGTTTATATCTTGTTCATCCCTACAATGAACATCCTAATTTCATACAAAGGGGTCACATGCTTTCCTTCTTAGGAGGAAGGAGTAGTTATCTTCCGTGTTTGCAAAGCCGTCAAAACAGAAATATGAAGCTGCTATTAACAGAATGTGGCAAAAATCCTCAAGGACAAAGCTGGCATTGGTTCCTGCTTAGCTAATGAAATTTCTGATTTCAATTTGACAATGTTCCCTACATAGTCCTTAGCTTTTGTGTATATCAACATTTTAGTTGTTTCCATCCAATGGACATCTTTAAGGTACTTACTGCACCATACTGCCAAAAATAAAATAATTTTATTAGTATAACTACTTTTTTAAGCATTTTATAACTACTGCCCTACTGGCCTCTAGTAAAATTGTGCCAATTTATATTAAATTCATTGGTGGGGGGGTGGTAATTAGAAACTACAAACTTTAATGTCTTAAGCTTGCCTTAGCTTAAAAATTTCAATTGTATTTGATATGAAGCTTTATGAAATCCAAAATACTGGGATATTTCATATTTTCAATAAAAATAATGAGGAACAGGGTTGGGTATGGTGGCTCACACCTGTAGTCCAGAGATTTTGGGAGGTTGAGGCAGGCAGATTTCTTGAGGCCAGGAGTTCAAGACCAGCCTGGCCAACTCGGTGAAACCCAGTCTCTGCTAAAAAAAAAAAAAAAAAAATAGCCAGGCATGATGGCATGCACCTGTAGTTCCAGCTACTCAGGAGGCTGTGGCAGGAGAATCTCTTGAACCTGGGAGGTGGAGATTGCAGTGAGCAGAGACTGCACCACTGCACCCCAGATCTGTGCAACAGAGTGAGAGACTCTGTCTCAAAAATAATAAAATAATGAGAAACAGATTCAAGAATATTTATATTCTGGCACCCACAGAAGGTCTATAAACAAACAAAACAGAGAGAAAAAATATCTTTTAAGAAACAAATGTATGCATATTTTAAAGTTCAGAGGAACATTTTAACATCAGTGGCTACGAACAAATCCAGGTTTCCCACTTACTGTTTGACCTGGGCCAGCCTCCCATGCTCACCTGTGAGATGGATATGATAGTGGCCACTTCAGAGAAATGTCAGAACAATTAAATAACATAATATTGGTAAAGCGCAGAGCCTGACATAAGCTAATTTCTCAAAATCTGGCAGCTAGTATTATTAACTTGTTCTACATAACTCCACTAGTGAGTGAGGCAGCTGAGATTTGAAGCAAGTTTGTTTGAATCCAAAGCCCATGAGAAGCATGTGCAATTTGCATGGTGTTATAGGGCATAGTGATTTGTCATTCCCAGAGATTTCTTGCTACATGTTTTTCACTGTGTAGTGAGCGACCCATTTTCTCACAGTAAGTCCCATAAAGACAAAAAGGTAGGATCCTTTCTCTGGCATGTTATAAAATTGATGAACATTTTTTTTTTTCAATTGAGACAGGGTCCCGCTCTGTCATCCAGGTTGGAGTGCAGTGGCGCAATCTCAGCTTACTGCAGCCTCTGCCTCCTGTGTTCAAGTGATTCTCCTGCCTCAGCCTCCCGAATAGCTGGGATTATAGGCATGCACCACCATGCCAAGCTAATTATTGTATTTTTAGTAGAGATGAGGTTTTGTCATGTTGGCCAGGCTGGTCTTGAACTCCTGGCCTCAAGTGATCCACCTACCTTGGCCTCTTCAAAGTGCTGAGATTACACATGTGAGCCACTGCACATGGCCAAAATTGATGAACATTCTTGAACTTAGTTATGTACTTACAGAAGATAGATGATATTCAGCTTCCCAAACAGCTTGTGGGTAAATTTTCTAATAAGGCTTTTGATACAATAAACATCCTGTGATTCTGTTCTTCGGCAATGAACAACTTCTACCTTTCCTCTTGGAGAAGTGAGTGCTGACATTTTTTATCCTGTCCCCAAAAGAGAGAAAAAAAGTCCACTATTAATCTGATATGACAAGTCAGTTTGGTTATAGTATGCACAAAACTGGACATTAATTCAATTTCCATATGGTCAGAGCAAACATGGTATGAGAATACTCGTGTGACACGTTTTCCCCTGGGTGCAGTCTGTGACGACTGTCACTGCAAACCAGCCAATGTTGCTCCATAGGAGAATGAAGTTTCTGAGAACTGCCCTGATTAGAAGTTTCTGCAACTATATTCTTTGTTTCCAAAAAAGCTGCTTTAAAAAATTCTAACAATAGAATTGGAAAAACATTGAAAGGAACTATTTACAGATTCAGGGTCCTCTTATATTTAATTGGCCACGATGGCATGTGGTCAGGAGTTACTGGGGAAATATTCATAGCTGCTGCCCTATGTTCTTAATAGAGTTCTCCAAACTGGAGCCCTGAAGGTCAGCAGTCTTGAGAGATATTTTGAGACCAGAAAAGTTCCACGGTTAAGCGTAGGAAATGCTCGCAATAGGCTTCCTGAAGGGCCATCAGGCCCATTAATATCTTTGAGAGGTTCCATAATAAAGCAACTTGTTTTCTTTGTATAATCCAGCCCACTCTTTTCGAACAGAATCTCTAAGGACAGCCACAGTGGAGAATCTAATGTTCCAGAAGGACACTTTGGGAAATGCTGTTGACAGAAACAGTAGATCACGAAATGATTTCAATCTCTCTCTCATTGTCTTAATTTCTGTAAGTCTCTCTCTTTCTTCTCTTTTCTTCTACTTCTTTCCTTCCTAGGGAAAACCATTTTATTATATACTGGCCAGTGAGCTCAAAATAGGGAAAACAATGAAAGAGAGATTAATAACACCTAGATTCCTGTCAAAGCTAGCCATAAACACTGTTCATTCTGGTTTTGGTTTTAAATTGAAAGCAAAATTGGAATGAGACATCCTGTTTGTGAAACATATCATAAACTAATGCTACAAGTATATAACAATTCTGAATAAAATAAGAAAGTACAATTAGATAACTGAATTTGGTAAAAAGATAGCATGAAAAGAAGAAAGAAAGCGAGCAAGGGAAATTCTCCAACCAGGTGGCAATGATGTGAGCAGTGGCTCAGAAAGTGATCAGATCTGATACAGGTTTTGGGGACAGAATGGACCTCACTCCAAAGAGAGAATTAAAAGTTAAACCATGCATCTACCTGGGACTTTGGAGGGATGGGTCCCTCAGTAAGTGAGGGGACTAGAAAAATTAAACTTATCAGCCCAAGAAAGTGACAAGCTTTCCCTACACAAAGCTCTAGGTAGAAAATAAAACAAAAATACTGCTGAGAAGTCCAAATTTTAGACTAAAGTGGGTCGAGCATTCTAATCCATACTACCTGTGTATTAGGGGAGTCAGCAAGAACTTTAGATGATAGACTCTGAAACAGACTATAAACTAAGTATATTTATAATAAAGAAATATAGAAAGAGAAACAAAAGTCATGAGAAGAGAGCAGGTCATTATTAAAAGAATAGAAACTTAAAAATAAAAAATGTGGTTATTAAAATTTAAACTAAGAGAATGGGTTAAAAACAGACAAGAATAAAGAGAATAAGCTGGAAGATACTTATGAACAAATTATCTAGAAAAAAGCATACAGAAATAGAAAATACAAAATTCAGTAAAGACATACGTAAGACAGAATGAAAAACATCTGTCTTCTGGGAATTCCAAAAAGATTAAATGAAACATTTGAAAATAATGGCTAATTATTTTTAGTATTGATGAAAGACATGAACCCTCAGTTCAGAGCAGAAAATACAAATAAACTCCCAATATACACTAGTAAAACTACAAAATCCTAAAGGCAAACAAAAAACTTTAAAAAAAAAAACCTGGTAAAAGACTATCTACAAAAAAATAATTAGACTGACAGAATGTTTCTATTCAGCGACATTAGAAGCCAGTAGCACAGGGGTTTGCAAACTTCTGGAAAAGGCCAGATAATACATTAAGCTTTATGAGTCACACGTCTGCACAACTCTTCAACTCTGCCATAGTAGGGCAATAACAACCAGAGACAATATCAGCACAAATGAGCATGAATGTATTCCAACAAAATTTTACTTATGGACACTGAAAGTTCAGCTCTGCATTATTTTCATGTGCCATGTAATTTTTTTCTAATGTTTAAAGTGTAAACTATAAAGTTTAATGCAATATATACACATATATATTACATGTAATATATATGTATATATGTACATAATGTATATATAAGATACACCTATATTTTATAATGTAGATATTTTATATATATCCCTAGCTCACTCATGTTCCATACAAAATAGTCAATGGGCTGAATTTCGTCTATGACTCATAGTTTTCTACTAGAATAGTGTTTTAAAAATATAAAGGGAAAAATAATCATTAACCTAGACTGATAAACCTAGCTAAACAATCATTTTTAAATGAAGATGAAATAAAGACAATTCATACAAAGACTGAAAGAGATTCAAAGAATCTTGTAGAAAGAACTAGGAGATGGCATATTCTGAGAAGAATAAAATTAAAATCAGAAAGAAGTGGAATACAAGATTAAATGCTGGGAAATAAGAAGGTAAACATGAAGGTAAATCTACAAAAGCACTGATGGCAAAAAGTAAGAAAGATAATACATTTTTCCAAAAAAAA